TTTTCTTCTGAGGTTGACGAATCGATACCTACCTGTAGGAAGGAAACAGCATAGAAGCGATAAAATTCGAGAGAAAATGGGCACCAGAATAGTGCATCAAGAACGTTTAAGGAGGACTGACATTTCAGCAGTTACAAACTTTTCTTTTGCTTTCATATCTTCTTTATTATGACCCGCTGAATGGCACTGTGCCAACGAAGTAAGCGATGGGAATGATAGTGAAAACCAATAAACGGAACTTAAAGTGACTTATCACTCAACATTATTGACAGAACGCTCAGGATCACAAATCACTAATTTAGGTCGTGGAAGAGACGCTTAGAGAAAATAATACGACAAGTTTTGACTGAGGAACAGACGAGTGGAAACATCATGATGTACGATTCTGTAAGGGCTATAATAATAGTACTGGGGATATTTAAAAACGGCGAATTGTAACAAATTCTAAATGCTAAATTGCTAATACTTAATGTCCAGTCAAAATGCTAAATGTAAAATTAATTTTTCGACTCGTGCAGAATGGGATTCTTTCCTCCTCTACAACCGCTGATAATTTTTTACACATGGTCATGCCAATACGGAACATCGGAGAGTCATGATATGATATCTTATAAACCATCAGTTTCTTTGGCTCTTCTTGAAGCAGGTATGGTCGTGCTCACACTTTCGTTTATGAAGCCCGTCTTCTGATTTTCCCTGTTTTGGGTGTGTCATGAACTTCTATTCAACGCAAGTCGACGCTTCTACAGGATTCTCAGTTTTGAGTTACCGCCGGCCAAGTTATTTGATCACCGGACCCAGTGAACGAGTACCGTATGGCCAATCCGTCTCTTGCCGCTGTAGAAGGCAGAAATCGCGTCTATCAGTCATCCCTCGTCGTATTTGCGAACTCAAAATTAGATCCTGCACATTTGGATGAACGTAGCTGTCATTATGACCCGTGAATCGGGTTCGGGTGTGAAATAGATTTAAGAAATTGAGAAGTCGATGACGATATGGTCACAGAATGGGCCATGCCTATCTCATAATTGGAAGATTAATACTGCAGGACGGAGAAGAGAGAACATGGAAGGTTCCATGAACAACTGAGTTCAGCAACCCTCATCTCAATGACGATGACATCGAAGAAGAAAATGAATTCATTTGTGTCACAGATTAACCATTAGCAGCAAAGATCAAAAGCGTTACGTTTATGATCATAAGTGAATTGAGTGCATTCAACTGAACGCCATAGCTTTTGTCGAACAATTCAGCGATTTTCATTTCCCTCGTTTTCTGAATGACCTACAAACGATTGTAGGAAAGCATTTGACATTGTACTACAAGAACAGATGAATAGGTTATTTCATTTGACAGCAATTAGCGTTAATTTGGCCCAAGGGTTAGTAAACTTCAAGTACCAAACCTGTCAATTTAAGTAATTTCTTTTTAGAGAAACATTAGATTTTGAAAACTAATGCGTTGTAATTTCGTGGCATTTAAAGATTTGCATTTAGTCTACCTTGACCGGAATAATAAGTCATCTTTGCGTAATAATTCTTTCAAATACTATAGAGGTCACGGTTTACTGAATCATAAACGATTAATAGCTCTGTCATCTGAACCTCTTTGCTTTGGTGACGAGCGCTGTGCCACCGCGCATCTGTTCGTACTGCATCAAGATAGGGTTCTTCCAATGAGGCATGTAGCTGGTATCTCTAAATCTGAAGAATGTTGATGTCTACATAATGATAACAACAACGGCAACAATAATTGGCTAATCGTTCTTCGTAAATAATGGGCTCACTATTCCGTAGTCCGACATCCACGTGATTGGTTTCGTACCATAACCATGCAAATTTCTTTTGTAACTCATCGTTTCATTTGAGTCAAGGTCGTCCAGCTGGGCCCTTGCAGCCCCTTGGATGCCAGCCCATCACCGCTGGAGTCCATTGATCAAGCGTCAGTATTGCAATGTAGTTCGTTTCAGTCAGACTAGAGCTTCATGCAAAGGACACAGTGAGGAGATTTTATTTGTGCTTTCCATTTCATTCGATGTTGTCAGATGTTTTGACTACTGTCCATGCTTGACAGAAGCATCAAACAAAAGGTCTGTTCACCCTTCACACTTCTGATTGGGTTTTCAGGCTATGGCTTTGAGGCGCGTAGCTCCCTACCTTGACGAGTTTGGCCACAGTCACCTCTTCTCTGACGGTTTTTCCTCAATACCTCGGTGTTGATTGTCATCTTATCGAGGTAAATGGCAAAACTTCATCCAAGATGCGACAAACCACAGTAAAGTAATTCCTCGTTTACAAGCTTAATTCGTTTTTCAGAAACTCCTCATAACGCGGAAGCTCCCAAATCGAAAGTCTGCTTCCCACTTCTTCACCTTGGCTCCAGAGATCAGAAATTTCGAAGGTCGCTCTAATGGAGCACAAGCTCTTTCCTCAAACATAGAACCCAAAAATAGCACAAAAGAGTGTTTGACGTGACGTGGACATCCTCTGGTTAGGTAATGCTCAGAAGATTGGCAAGCAAAGGGGAGTAATTCCACTATCGCCGGGATCAAGCTCGGATACGAAAGGATGGGAGTTGGGAACTGTGACGAGGTATTTCTTTAAATAAGGCCAACTACTGTTCACGGTATCACCGCTACCGAAAGTTACACATGAAAAGGAAGCGATCAGAATTTGGTTCATGCATTCTGCCAGCTCAGGGACTAGTAGCAAGACTAAAGCTGCCAAAGATGAACACGAAGATTATGAAAGTACCAGTCAGCAACGGAGTCGCTACCCGTTCTGAGATGAGGAGGCAAACAACGCAATCCTATTATAGCGTGTCAGAGAAAGCTGCACAGGTGCGACACCTACAGTGGGAGCTAACAATTGTAAATTGGAAAGTCTCCTCACTC